AAACTCAAAGGCATATCCCCACCAATGCTCGCTGGTTTTATTTGGATCCTCACCCTGTGCTGAGCCACTATTAGGATGCCAAGATACAATTAATGTAACACAACTGAAAATGTTTAGAAGCCAGTTATTTCACTGTAAATTGCTTTAGCTGTTCCAATCTCTTAAAGAGAGACTGTGGTGACGCTGGTAAGGATCAGAATCATACACAGTGTATATCTTACAAGAAGACAAGCTAATTTAAGAATTTGCTGTATGAGCTCAGTTTATAAAAAAAAAAAATATTGCAACTGTGTATATGCACAGCTCTCCTACCAGTCAGATATATCAGAGAAGAGATTATTTTTTCCATAACAAAAAACAGATTTTCAAGGATGTTACAAACCTGATTTTCTGCAAGTATTTATTGAGAATGTTAAAAACTTTTCAATCTATTTATGAAATATTTGTGTGTTTGCTTTTTTTCTGAGTTTGGGAAAGTTAATAGGCATATAAAAATAAATGTCTGTAACCCACATTCATCAAAGGAAGATCATACAGAGCTCTCCTAAAAGCTGGATTATATTCCTAGTGGATGGAAAAATTCCTTTTTCCAGTGATCTAAATTAAAAATTGTCCAAATACTCTCAGGTCATTTCTTTTTATCTCCTTATGAAATCATATTGTGGATTATACATATGTATGTATACATATACTTATGTATACTTATGGAGACAAATTTATCTTATTAAATAATGGATATATGGGTCACCAGGAGCAGTAGTGTGCATTAGGCAGTTTCGCAGCTCTGTCAGAGCCTGACTGTCATGAATGGTATTTGGCATTGCTACACAGAAGTTTCTGTAATGTCTTGATTTTTGCTTTTTTTTTAAAGTCTGGCTACCATATATTAATAATTTTGTCATGCCTGAAGCTTCGTACTGCTAAGAACCATGGGAGTTGCCCCTTCCTGTATCCTGAGGGAGTAGAACATGGCTGTTTCTAGTGAAGATAATCATCAGGAGTTAAACAGAAGCACTTTCAGAGAAGCTGGACCTTCCCTTTTTTCTTTGTTCAGAAAGTTTTTTAGGGAAATCTGAGGGGAACAAAAGGGGCTACTGACATTGCTAGGGTATGATACAAAAGAACTGATAGGGATGAGACATAAAGGGAAGTGTGTGAGCTGCAGAGGAGCTGGAAAGGATGGGAAAGAGGATGAAGGTTGTTATTGGGAGAATGACTGAGGAATGTCAAAAGAAAACTAGGAGATCTAGCAGATCTTTTATTTGCCCTTTTGCTATGGTTTTAATAACCTTTGAATAATTAACTCTGATTCAATTCACATCTTTGAGCAGTAATGCTAAAATTGACCTAGCTCAGTCATTGGTTGTAGTTTTAAATTGAGCTGATAGTCCTAGACACCATCAGACTATTCAGGAAAAAGGAAAAAAAAATTGTTACAGGAGAAAGCTTCAATTGAGAGCTACTTTGAGGCAGACCAATGCTGGCTGCTCTGCATCTCACAAGTTCACCAGCTGATGAACAGGCCCTCAGACTGCCATGAGTGTAGCTAAGAGCATGATCCTTCCACTCCTCCAGCTGCACTAAGTCAGTCACCTGACTCCTGGAACTCTGCCTGAAAAGTGGTGAGTGCTTTACCTTTGGGTGGTTTAAGCACTCCTTTCTGTCCTTCTCTTTGTAATTCCACATTCACTCTAGTCATGTCTCAAGTGGTCATGGAGCAGCTGTTGAACTTCCTCAGGTTGCAGCCTGGGTTACTACAGACAAACAAACTTCATGTTCCATTCTCAGTATTTCTGGCCGTGAGCTGCTGCTGCACAGCTTGTGCTTAAGTAACATCAGAATTGTCTCTGAGATGAGATGGGGACAGTATCTGAGAGGCTGTCCTGTTTGTGGTCACAGGGGGCCTTAGGCTGAAATATGGAAGGCAGTTTGTACTCAAGAAATGTAGTGGTTTTGCAGTGGAAGCATTGCATTTAGCATTCTCTGCTACAATGAGTATCGCAAACCTATTCTTTATTATCAAATGAATTTATGAGAAGATTTTTCATTTATGTGCTAATAGAGCTTTTGCCCAGGGGTGTTTTGCAGCTTCACATTGCAACACTGAGTTACGTGTTAACAACACAACCAGAGTTCCTCAGCATCAGATTCCTTCAGCACCAGTAGCTTTGGAAATGAACGATTAAAGAGGATTACTCAGAGTGGGATTCACCTCACCCTACCTTTAGCTATTCAGAAGTTAGGTGTCAAGTACAACTTGGGTAATGAGGCTTCTCCAGTCAAAAGAGAGAGAAGAACCCCATGTAGGTGGGTCACTATCTGGAGATGCCTGCTTTGTTTTTCATTCAGAGCATAGAAAACACAGACAATTGCCTCAGAATAGAAGTCTGTCTTTAGATGACTACATTTAGGTGAGGTAGAGCCTATTCTCAGTATGAAAAGGCCTTTTTTGCCTCCAAAGGATTTGTCCTTCATAGTGAAAGGGAGTTTGAACTTTGAACTAATTTGAGAAAGTCGATACTAGCACCATCTTTGAGTCAAAGGCATGTTTGGCTGCATCTGACATGAGCTTAAAAAACAGGTATTTCATATCAGGAAGGCCTGAGTCAGGAAAGAAGAGTTAGTCAACATGCAACCCTTAGTCACGTTCCTATGGGATGCTGCAGGTTTTTCCCCTTCTCATTTCCTTTTGTCTTAAAAACCAAAGGTGCAGTCTGACACATGTAAATGTAAACTAGCTCTCAAGCAAAAGCCTCACCCATTTGCTACCACATATTGCAGAAACAAGACCTGGTCATAATAATCTATGCTGGGCACAATTGAGAAATAGCCACTAACATCACAGTACCTCCATCCAGATAGTGCAGTTCTGCACTTCAATCAGGAATGCAGATAGGCTGTAGTAGAACAAACAAATACATTTTTTAAAGTGTGCTTTTGTATGCACGTTTGTTTTTCTCCAATTCTCCAAATTGTCTCTGGCCATCATTCTTACAGGGGAAAATTAAGGCAGAAATTTATTTATTTGCTTATTAGAGGAATGTATGTGCTTGTACTGCACAAAGCTTGAGCCAGAGTGGGAGAGCCTTTTGACCACTGCTTTGGAAAGCTTCCATGGAACAGCTTATGACTGTACTTTGTTTATAACTGTAGTTTATCTGGTTTCGATCAAGCAGTTCCCATTCCATTAAAATGTTTCATTATGATGAAGGTGAGAAAGGAAGTTCATAACAAACCTTTCCCCTGAATGACATGATTTAAAAAAATTAAAAATATATTTAAAGTGATTGTTTAATAAAAATACATAAACACATATCAAAAATGGAATGATAAATTGTGCCTAAGAAATCAATTTTTGCAACTGTGGAATATTGCAAAATATCTATATGGAATATCTTAACTTGTTCTCCTTGTAACACCAGCTTTTCATCTAATTCCTTTGTGCGTATAGGAAGTGAATGCAACGAGACCATTGGAAGTGACTGGGTTTGTGTCTAGTTTCTGTCAGCCAGGTTCTTGTACAACACTTATTACCACTGTCAGGAATGACTGTGATTTCATCCTTATGCCAGTGTCTAACAGGAAGCATCATGCTTTGTCACCCTATTAATCTCAAATCCTTTCATAAGCTCTAATTTTAATCATTTGGGAGGATTTTCAATACAAATCCATGTATGCCTAATGATGCTTGCATAATAGATTAGAAAATTTAATCACTGAGCTTCCTCGAGGTGTGCTGAACAGATGTAGATCCTCACTACATATGAGGTTGATAAAATGAAGAAGTTGAGTCCATTAAGCTCCAGTAAGTCTAACAGTGCTCAGCTGGATGCTGATTTGAATGCAATTGCTCAGAAATCTGAATATTTATTTCTTTTTTTTTCAAAAGGAAATGACAATTCTGAACTGAACAAATCAAAAATACAGCAACCAGCTCTCCTTAATTGCTTGAGTTTTTTTTAAATCTTCTTTTCAATGCTTTTCAAGGTGAAATATTTAAATCTCATTTACATTTTCTTAGATGCATTTTGTATTAAGTGTGTGATACCTTATGTTTTAGGGATTTAGGCTTATCAAATTTCTCCCTTCTTTCAAAGTGGACTGCTGTAAGAAACAACCAACCAACCCACCCTAAAAATATCACACCCCAAAAAAAGCCCCACAAAAAAAATACCATGTTCAGAAATAATGATGCACTAATGCTCTTTAGTGGAAAAATGTTCCTTCCAAAAAATTCCTAGTATCTTCCTACATACACCGTTTCTATGATGACCTTTCCTGTCTCCTCCAGTTCGTATCCTGAGGACTGTGTTTTCCCACACTGTTGTTAAGTGTATATCTTCTCATAACACGTTGTTCTTTCTTGTGTCTTCCAGAGCTGTGTACCTCCCCAGGTCTGTCTTTCACTTCAGCTCCAATCCACAGGATCACAGAGTGAATCTGTTCCTGCTGGTTAGTTCCTCTCTGCCCTATCCCAGAGGGAATGAGGAACCTCTGTTGGGTAAAGGAGAGGTAAAAAATTGGAACTGTGTAATATGGGAGAGATGTGTGAGGAACAAGGAAGAAAAACAGTACTTAATTCAAGTGGGTTGAGAGGGCAAGTCTCTCTAGAGGATCTGTCACTAGATCTCTGTGCATTGTAGGTTACTTTGGTAATAGGAATCCACAGCTCACTGATCATTTGTGTAAATCTTTAAAAAACAAGTTGTATGTGAAATATATTGGCAATCAAGAAGTCCCCTAGCATTTTCTAATCCAAAGAGATTGCTGCCTTTGGTGGGCTCCTCTTCTACCATCTCACTTAGGAAAGAGGTAGTGCACAGAATTAGTCAGGGCTTTGTATGAAGACAATAGGCAGATATGTCTCTTAGGATGTTACTGTAATCACTTTTAGATTATTACTGTCAGGTTTTCTCTCACATGCCACAAGGTCATCATCAATCAGATTAATGCTTTTAGAACAAGTCTGCAGGCCCCCAGGTAAAAATGCCTTGGTCTTATCAGGCTCTGTTCAGTCACAAGAACTGCAGATGTATGTTTGCACCTTACAACCGACTTACTCTAAGGACAAGTAATGTGGGTGGGAAATTTTCCTGCTTCAGAAATCATGGAGGGGTGGAGCTCTGACTCAAGGTAATAAAACACCTGTTCAGCAACTTCTGACACTCTTCAAGACTGTAAATATGTTTCAGAAGACACTGGCAACTGTGGAACCTAGTATTAGGGTGCCATTTGCAGCACCCATTTTCAATGCAGCAGTGATCTCGATGGCATCAACATCTGCCTTATCTCAGGTAAGTGGAAAACAGAATGAACCAGGCAGGTGACTCTGGGAGTTTGATTCAGGTTTGTCCCCAGAATAGAGACAGCTCAAGTCCACCCAAATCCATAGGTTATAAATCTTCAAGAAAACAAGACATTCTTCCTTGGATATCTGCAGCTGTGTGGAGTCAATAGCTTTCCATACAGAGCAGAAAGAGCTGCCACTTTCCTGGCACGTTCCTCCTTTCCACACCTTGCTGATGCAAACAGTGAGGCAGCACAAATTGCCCATTCCACATTGCAATTCAACACTGAGAAGCTGAAAGAAGAGGGAAAAACTGATCTTTGCTCTCTTTTTTCCTTCTCTCAACAGCATCCCAGCAGCAAATCAAGCACATTGCAAAATGAAGGACAAAAATGGATGGTGCAGGATACAGAGCAGAGTGATGTTGATGCTGAGGTACCAACCAGAACAAACAAATTATGTGTGGAACAAAACCACACATGAGAAGGGCATGACCTTCTTTTTTCCTTTATTGTCTTATGAGTTTCATATGCTTATTTTGAAAAAGACATTTCATAGGAGAAAACTTTCTTTACGTGAAGCATCTGTATTCCTTTGTTGGTTTTCTTTTTTCATTCTATTATTTTATCAATTTATACAAAGTTTTTAAAGTTTTTATTCCTTAATGAAATTTCTTAGGGGAAATGTACTTAATTTGCTGTTAAAATGGGACTGAGTTTGGCTTCTTTTAATGCTGTCCATCTCTATTTATTTTAATTGAGTTCTAGATCTGAATGAATGGAGAATGTTGCCTGTGTCAGCAAGTCAGAATGTAGCTGATGGTAATGGGTTTGGGCTCACTTTATTTACTGTGCATGCTGTAACAAAAGGAGAACATCTCTAGCAACCCTAGAAGGGCCAGTGATAAGAGTTGTATTTGCACTGAAATGTGCCAGTTGTATCAGTGATGATTTTTCTCTTTGTGTTTGATTAGTTGTAGCTGGCTGTACTTTGTGCCAAGTTGTTTCAAAGTAAAACAGGATGGTTCCAAATAAAATGCTAGCTTATGTTTGATGATATCGTAAGTGAGGTGTGATTCAATGTCTGCAGCTCGTAGGAAACCTGTATGTTTAATTCTTGTTTGTGTGATCACAACTCCAGATCAGTAGAAAATTATAAGCATTGCTTTGTTTTTCTTCAGGTGTATCATAAAAAGATTGAAACGTCTCTTGCTAGTAGCATTTTGGCATTTCCTATAGGTGGAAATTAGAGTATAAAAATGGTGTCTAACTATCACTGGGGTGTCAAATTTGACATAAATGACAAAGTAGCATAAACAAAACTGAATTGTTGAGAATTTGCTGTGTATGTACATATATTAAAACTCAGGGAATGCTCTAAAGCAGGAAAATGATCTATTGAGCAGTGCAATGGCCCATTCATGGTAGCATTTCTTTAATGGCTAACTGTATTTATACTGACGTTGTTTCGGTTTGAAAGGCTCCTGCCTAAAGGCATCCAACTCTGTTTTACCACTAATGTAGTTATACATGTGTATAAAGATCGTTAGAATCCAGCACATTTCTGAATCTATGTAAAGCAATGTTAAAATGAAATTGTATGGCCATAAGCCCCTGCATATAGGGGACATAGGGGTTCCTTTCTAATGCTTTAATTCATAGTCCTTGTCATAGTTTCTTCTTATCAAATCCATCAAAAGTTCCCTTTTGCACTCCAAAAGTGTTTAACAAGAAAGGTGTTCTCAAGTCACTCTCTGTTTGCCTTCTGGCTCTTGAACATATCTTCTCTCCTCTGTAATAAAGCTTGGCAGAAAACTGGCATTAAAGGCACAGGATTGTGTGAGCTGCCCAATTTCTGCTTCTTAAGTACTGGGTTTCCTAGGTGCTTTCAGCCATTCCCTTGATCTTTGTAACCCATAGTTTGCCATCTAAGAGAGGAAGATGACAATAAGTAGAAAGCTGTTACAAAGGACAACATACGTTTCTTAATATTAATGCTCAAATATTTGCCCGATTATTTGCTTTATTTTGAGAGGACTTTTATGTAACTGTGTGATGAATTGAATATATACTGGACTGGCATTAGAAAATCATGCCCATGGGCTGCTGCATGCTGTGTCACCTATCTAAAGTGCAAAGCCAAAAGTCCCCACTGCTAAATTATCTGGAAAAAGTATCAACTTTGTAAACCTGCCCCTTCAGCTTTTAGAATGGATGAGAACAAATGCAGTGTAACCCTTTACCTGTTTCTGGGAGTCCTGAGTTGTCAGTTTGCCTTCTAGCACCTTAGTCATGAATACAGGAAAGATGAAACATGCTGAAAAGATCATAAATAAGTATGAGTAAGCCAGTCCATAATAACAGCAAATCTAGCAAATTTATCACTATGATCTGTTAGTGAATTGTCTTTCTCTTACATCTACAGTGTAATTCATTCAAAAGATGCAAAAATTAAATGACAAATTACCAGATTAAAAAAACTTGTTGGCTCATCTTCTGTAAATGCATTGAAAATTTAAAGAATAATGCAGGCAAACATAATCTCAGCTCAAGTATTAGCAGTGAACAGGGAGCATGACCAAGTTATTCTGCCAGACATTAAATCATAAATCGAGAAGAATTAGGAGAATATTCATCACTTTTTAATTTATGTGATACTCATAACATGGTGTGCATCCCTTCATGGTTTGATACAAAACTAGAAAAGTAATATAACATTATTTCCAATACTCCCATTGTGCATCCGTTTAAAAACAAACCTTACCTCTTCCATAGGTAGCAATAAGTCTTTAAGGAAGGCTGCTCCTTCTGCCCATCCCCATCTCTTTGCAAGGACAAGTTCAAAGATTTAATTTACATAGATTTTTCTTTATTAGAGAAGACTGCAGTAGGATTTGCCCATCTGTGACTGTGGATACTCAGACTTTGGTGATACTCTCTTCAGCCTACATATCAGGAATATTCTTGGCTTAATATGAAATGTTGCTCAGAAGATGGCTGTTTATGATAATTAGTCACCCATGGATAGTTGATTACGTTACGAACTCTCTGAATGAATCTTTTTTTTTCCTCTTTTAATTTAACACAAATGATCCTCATCAGCAGTAACACATTTCTCATTTAGTTTGTTGGCATTGCTGTTGCATTATCACAGTGAACTGATGACTAGAGGGAAAAGAGGATTAGTTGCATGATTTCCATTGAAGTATCAGGATCTTGAGCTTCAGTTGTAAGATATTTTGCTCTTGGAGTTTTCTGGAGTAGCATTTTTGTCAGGCATTTGGCCAACAGAAAGGTATTATGTGGAGTAATTTTTTATTAACTTTCATCTCTAAGGAAGATAAGTCTCCCTTTCATTTGTCTCAGATTTACTTAGTAATTAATAGCTTAATAGTTAGCAATTCTCTTCAGAGATATTGGTGTCTCAAATTATGATGATGACAAAGATCACTGAATATTGCTCCTCCTTTGATGCCCTGAGGAGTGAAGATGTGCTCTAGAACTGCTGTTTTTTCTGTTCTTGCTTTTCCATGAAAGACTTTGATTTGAGAGATGTGGACCTGAGTGTTACACAGAGAACAGACTGGTTCTGAGAGCTGTGAAAATCCTTTTCTTACTGGTAGAAATGAAGAATATAAAGACTAAAGCTTTCATTACTCCTTCAAATGTAAAGTAATCATTGTTCTTTTGGACAGGCTAGAACAGGAAGGGATTTTGTTTACCCAATGAATAGACTCAAGGAGCAAGGCTCAGATAAAGGAAAACTCAGTTATCTTCTTTCCCTCCACTTGATTTGTCCTGAATGTCCTCTACCTTCAGCACACTTGATTGCTTCTTTCACGTTCATGCCACTAGCTCTTTCATCTTGTTAATTCCTTGGATCTCTTTTTTCTATCTGCTTCTTGAGGTCTTTGTTCCATTGATTGTGTTTTGGGTATGCTCTGACTGACAAAACCTGTCCCTTGCTGTCTCATAGGACTGAGATTTCTCAGCCAATACAGCAGAATTTTCTGTGACAAGGACCACTTGACTCCTGGTACACTGTATTTCCAAGCACAGCTCATCAGCTTTTCTCTTATGCAGAACCAATCCAGAACTCTCCTCCCAGGAGAAATAAGATGTTTGAACACTTGCATAATCTTTGACACTATTTGATCTATGTAGTATCTCACAGTTCTTCAAGAAAATACCATGTAAGTTTTACTGTTTTGTTTTCTTGTCAATATAATCCTCCCGTGTGCTGGTTCTCTTACCAGTCTGTCTTCATTTATATTCATAATATGAGGTCCCTGCGAGGCATTCTTCATGTATCCTCTATTCTGCTCCACTGCAATGGCATTCAGGAATGAGCGTATGACTGGTGCTTGATGTAGATGTGCCTTTGCACAGCTCACACTAGTTTTTGTTACTCTACTCTTAACAAATCCTAGTAGTGTACGTGCACCTCTAGCAGCATTTGAAAACACAAGGTCTAGATACTGATTGAAGTACTGGTACCACAAATTTTCACTAGAGAAAGTATTTCCTTTATTTCTCCTGAAAATATGTTTGCCGTTGTTTTGGTTTTTTTTTAATTTGAAGACTATTTTTGAGACGGATATGGACCAGACAAACCCAATTAGTCGGTGGGTTTCTTTAAGAACAAAGCAGGTTTAGGTACTGAGGTCACAGGTTTTGCATGCTGATGGCAAAGAAGTGGTCTGCCAAAGTGGTGGAGGCAGCCGTGTGGAGCTGGCACAACACAGATTCCAGAAATACTGAGATCTTACCTCCCTGGTTTAAAACAAACAGTCCTATAAAGTGTTCTGTGCCCTATATATGACAAGTTGGTAATTTTCTATTTAGTTTTAGTATACATCCATCCAGAAGCTAAGTAAGTGCACATGCATCTTCTACTTCTTGTAGCCTGTTACAGAAAATGTGTTTGTTCAGAGCTTCATTGCCCTCTTGTTGCTGCGAGGTGCTGATTCTGCACCTCAGCAAAAAGTATTAGAATTTTAAAAAGTCAGTTTACTGAAAATCTTCTGAAATCCTGATTCCTGGTTATAAGCATGAGCTCATGGACAAAGCCGTATGGTTATTTTAGGCACTGGTTAGCTTTTATATAACGTCATCAAATTATCAAGTTTTTTTTTTTTAATCATTCTTGCCATTTCATAGAATAACTCTGTAGCTTGACAATTGCTTTGCTTTTTTTTTTTTGCCTTTTTTTTTTTTTTTTTTTTAATGACCTTCATGTCCTTTATAGAAAAACAATTTGGGAGATTAAGCTGAATTTTGTCATGATGAATTCTTCATGGTCCAATGCTTTACACACTTCAGCTGATGTACTGTCTTCTATCACTGATTTCTTATACCTTGACCTTCTTAGCAGTCTTTGACTTCAATCGCAGTAGCAGCAGTCAATGAGTTTTCTCTTATTTCACTTTATAATTTCTCCCTGTTGTTTTAATCAAGGTTTATCAGAAAATAGATAATAATTATTTCATCATCTTCTACCAGCACTCCTCCTTACTTAAGATAATCTTTTCAAACTTCTGGTCATTAGCTTTTGCAACAGCTTCTTGCTTTTGCTCCCTGTTCTTATTGTTTTTTGAAGTGACTTTACGAAGAATTACTCATCTGTTTGCCTTCCCCAATGATCTAAACTCCTCCTTGAGCTCTGTCTGAGGGTAATTTACCCTCTTATCTCCACTTTTCTATCCATCATTTTCTTCTACGCTTTCTGTATGGATGCTTAGGTGACTGCAGACCAGGGACTGGTGAAGAAAGTGTACTTTGTTACCTACTGTATTGTTGCTGTAATTACAGTTATAAGAGATGGCTTCAGCAGAATCTGGATTCTTTCAGTGTTTGATTGTCATTACAATACATATATCCCAAATTTTAAAGCTCATCTCCTTTGTTAATTTTTATTTATTTATTTATTTATTTATTTTTTTCCAGCAGGAAGAAATATCACTTTACTCCCTGCTCACTGTAAGAATCATAAAGATGACAAATGCTCATCAGGCAGACTTCTGTAAGTATCAGATTTTTCTTACTGACATTATACAGTTCTAAAGTTACTGGATTCTCACTAGCACTAGCCACTATACAAATGCATAACACAGAAGTCATACTAGCTAAGAATATATGATCGAATCCAAATTTTTCTATAGAATATCTGTTTCCAATTTCAGGTGTTTTGTTTTTGTATAAATAAATAAATAAATTCAGCAACAGGTCAGTAATGCCAGTTTGGGTATGAGTAAAACTATTATATAGGTTGTTCCTATTTATTTCTTTGGAAACTGCAACAGATTTAAAGGGCACAGTAACGCTATTTGATAGAGCTGGTTCTCAGCTACCATACACTATTTTTCAACATAATCACTACTATTAGATGAGCACCACCAAAAATGAACAAGAACCTGCATGTTGCATTCGTAAAAATCTGCACAGGCTGGGATGGCAGCTGTGCTTGCCCATCTAGAACGTGGCTTGTCTTTCACATCACTGTCACTACTGCTGAAATGCACCACCCACTGTCTCTCTGTGCTCATGTCTACTGTTTGGTTTCCACAAATGTTCAGCAAGCATCGATGAATATCAATGGTTCCATTTTTTTCTGCATGGAGGGATTCAGTGACACACCTTTGCTTCATACACACTTCCATGTCAGACAGTATTTTATCAGACTGCCCCTCTGCTGTCATCTGTTCACTACAGTGGACTGCTGGCAGGAAGGTTCAGCCTCTACTGCTGTACCACCAACAGCTGCCTCTGAGCCAACATAATAAAATAGGAGGCATTACTTTCAGAGCAGCCCTCATGCATTACTTTCCTGATGTGTTGACTGTTTCAGAGATGTGAAAACTCCTTAACACCTTTTTTAATACACAGGTGTTTGTATCACATATCACTAAGAAATATGTAGAATACAGGACTGAAATCCTTACTCTGTCACTCTTAGCTGCTTGTTGGGATTCCTTACAGCACATATCAGAAGTTCAGTGGAGCTGTATAATTTGTATGTCCTGAGCATCATAACATCAGCCATATTGTTATGGATGTTTCTGACTCTGGTCATACACTGAAAGTTGTATACCAGAGACTGCAGTACGTAGTGTCTATGTTATGGCTTACACGCAAAGTGTTCTGAAAAGGTGTGGTATTTACCTGGCACTCACCCTTAGTGGGTGTTCCATTTCCACATTATTTTTTCTCTCCATAATTTTCTTCTGACATTTCTGTAGGTGCCTCATGAACCTGGCAGGTTGCTAATAACCGCAGCTTTGTGTATCAGTTTATCATACTTTTCTTTCTTATCATGCTGTGCCTTTTCTTTGTTTCTGGGGGGATTGTGCTGAGGCTCACTGATACCACAGCCTCTCCACTGCCCAGTGTCTCATATAACGTTACCTCACTCTTCTGTCTTCCTGAGTTTTAACTTTTTTTTTTTTTTTTTTTTGCACAATCTGAGGATCCATAAGTATAAAATGAAATTTACAGTTACTGTTTGCAGAGCAAAGTCTATTTTTCACCTGTGGTACTCCAAAATATGTTAGTTTCAGCGCACTTAGCAAAGCTGGTGCAATCCAGGTCTAAGGGTCCTCCTGCCCAGGAGGCAGGTCATCAGACAGACTTTGAGGAAGGCTAAGGACTTGGCAGGGTGCCTTCTTGTTTTTCTCCAAGTGCTATTTGACTTCCAATGGATAATTCAGAGATGGCAATACTTTAATCACAAATATTCCCACTTGTTTTCAGTTTTTTCTTCAATGGAAAAGTATTCTACAAAGACTTATCACCATCTCTGTATATTTCACTGACTTTGGAGTTTTAAGAACACAGATATCACAATTGTCAATTATCCATCCTAATGGAGAGAAGTATTTGGTTCTCAATACGTGGTCTGTAATACTGAATTGCAGAGATTAGAAAAATATCAGAGGACAGCAAAGAAGGTCAGTGTTCTTTCAGTTATGAAACAGTGCACATATCTGCATGACCTTACTACTATTCCTTTGAAGTGCTGTTTTAATTTCTTTTAGTACCACCTTTGATCTAGAATGGAAATGGAATGATAAGAATCATGATTCTCTATGTTATGCAAAAGGATTGCATGAAATAAGATGACAGTGTTCTCTCAGAAAACAGTTAAATGTTGTGACCTCATCCTCCATCTTCCAGCAGGATTTCAGAGAAAATCCTGTGGAGTGAGATGCAATTTAGGAAATTCGTAGTACCACTGAAACATACATCACTTGAGTAGGGATCAAGCTCTGTTTTGAGCTTGATGTATGGACTTTTCCTATGTACGTGTAGACAAATCATCTGAGCACTCTGTGCCTCTGCTTACCTACAGAACTTGTATTAAAAAAAATGTTCTCCCAGATATATTGTCCATCTTCTCTATTTAAATTATGTGCACCTTTTGAAAGGCGTGACCTCTTACTATGTGGAGAGGGATCCTAATTTAAGATGCAAGACAAATCCTGGAAACAATGAGAAGCATCTCCAGATTCTTTTGTAAATTACTGGCAAACAAGGGTCGTGGCCAGTAGCTGAAGAAAAGGAACTTTTTCTGTCAGAAATTTCCCAGCTACTGTTGTGGCTTTGTGTGCATTCTTTAAATAAATTGAAGTACAGTAAGCCATTTGCAGTTGAACACTGAAGGCAGAACAATATCAAAAAGTCCTTTGTTGAGTAAGCAGCAGCAATCTGCCTGTGCTTGCGAAGAAGTTGGTGTCTCCCAGGGAAAACTGTATGTGACAATATAATTTCAATTCCTTGTGATACCATGCAAACAGCTATCTGGTGATTTTCAAGCACTGATTTGGATGTGATGCCAATATTCTTTTGATTTAATGTTTTATTTTTTAAGTATTTGAAGCATCAGAAAACTAAAATAGCTACATATACTATTGTGTGCTGATGAGAATTAGAAAACGACATAGTTTATCTAGGCTTATCTTAGCAATATGATCTTTTTCCCTGGAAAATGGAGTACAAGCAGCTGGTGCAGGTGTCATTAAGTTTGAGATATCAGTGGAAGGCTGACAATTTTGTGACTGTCATCGCCAAACACCAAATCAAGGAACAAGGATCCACTTTCCAACCAAGTGCTGCAGCTTCTAGGACTTGCTTTTTCTGCCAGCATGCTGGCTTCCTGTCTTTCTAACTACACATGGTTATCAGTCTGCTCAAGTTTCTGTTCACCCCTGCTTAGATAAAGCACGTTCACTTTCCTTGATTTTCTCTCAGTTCATTGCAAGTGTCATGCCAGGCCATTAGAGCTCTTATTGACTTGCCATATCCTTGCTTCAGGGAATGCTACTTCCTATGTACTTCCACTGATGTTCCTCACTACTACATATACCCAACTTGATCCTAGTTTTTTTTTAAATGTGCATCTTGAGACCCGTGGGATGTGTAGGAGGGAGTCTTGGCTTATCTTGAGATGTAATGCTACACCTTCGCCTGTAGGCAGCACATGCTGCTGGATCTGAGCAATCATTGTGCCTGTTTGTGCACAGAGACAAAACTAAAGCAGAAAAAAACCTTTAATTGGCTCCTCCTCGATGGGCCAATTAACCCTTGTAATACACCTGGTGTCACTGCACTTTTGTGGGCTCCTCTGCATTTAGATAATTCTCAGCTCTGACTTTTGCTTCATACTTCACACAACGAGTTTCTGGCTTGTCTCATCATGCAGATGCTCTTGACAGACCAGAGCTAATTAGTTTTCACTGTTCCTAGCTGACCCTTTTGTCAATTCATATAATGGGTTTGATTCAAACGCAGATTTCAGGCACTCCCTGATCGCACCGTGGGCATTTGAGAGGTGCTAAGATAAGAAAACTAATACTCATCCTGCTACCCTGCAGGTGCTCGGTGTCATTAGCAGGTTCCTATGCAGTTGCACTGGGGAGGTGGTAGGCAGTTCAGGAAACAGTGCTGATGAAGCTTGTGGGATCTTACAGTCCAGTACCTTCTTTGCATTACCTCCTTAGCCCAAAAGATGCAGATAGTCTTGAGTAAAAGAATGACTTAACTTTTTCGGTTATTTGTGTGTTCACTTGCTCTTTCTCATCTGGAGTTGTGTAGGGCAGGGTGGAAACTTCAGGGATGGTGAAGGCACATGTGCCACAGGCTTTCATAAATCTCATTGACTGACAGGAGGAATATCTGACCAGGACAAGGTGGTGGAGAAAACAGTGCATTAGCTCCTTTTCTCACTTCTAACACCCCCTCTAATGATTGCATTTGCCAGAAGGATAAGGGGAGAAGGACCACAGTAGCTCAGGTTCTCTATCTTCTTATTTCTTTCCTTAAAGAAATCAGTTATCAAATGACCATGCAGAGCTGTGTCATCGTTAGCATTTACTCCCTTTATGGTAGTCCCTACAGCATACAGCTGGAGCTACCCCACTCCTGTGGTCAAGAAAGTCATCAGTGAGGGGCTCTGCATTATCTGATACACCTGAAGCTTCAGCATTAAAAAAGAGAAGACTGTTGTGCTGCAAGTGAAAGATGACCTCTCCCAGGTTTCTGGATAATGCTAATGACATTATTTAGTATGTGAAAAGGTGAAAACCTCTTGGACTCCACTGGATCTCACATAATCCTGAGGAGAGAAGTCTCTGTGCTGAATGGTTCTTTGATATTATACTGATGTAGATATTGAGTGGTACGGTACACCAAGAGTTGATCTTTGCTGCTGAAGAACATATGTGGGCAAGTTAACGCAGAAAAGGTGAAGAGAGCAGATGGGAAGGCTGGTCTGATGTAATCAGCCTCATTAGTGCTGGCTAGCTGCAATGCTGAATTTGAGCTGTATTGCCTAATAAGAAATTACTTGGTGTAGGTTTTAGATTGACTGATGCTTTCTTCCCAGCAACAGCACCTTCTTTGCTGGGTGTTGTCCTACAAGTTTAAGAGGCTGTGGCTAGAGGGGTCTCCATGATACGGCTATCGGAGATAGGCCAAAGTAAAGTCTTGGAGGGTTGAAACATGGGTGTGATGTATTTTCAAATTGTA